GGGGCTGTGGCGCCAGCCATAGATTTTTAGAGAGGGTGGATCTAGGACTGTTATGGCTTAACCCAGCCAGCAACTAAATGCCACGCAGCCCCGGGGAATGGGGAAGAGAATTAAAGGGGAAAAGGGAAGGAGATTTGTGGGTTGAGATAAGATCAATTTAATAATAATAATATAAAATTAAAAGTAAGAATGTTAATAATAATATATGAATATATATAAAAAATAATATATACGAACAAGTGATGCGCAATATGATTGCTCACCACTTGGTGACCAACGCCCGTCCTGTCCCAGCAAATGATCTCAAAACAGGTAAGTCCCAACACCGCAATCCTGGATGAGTGAGAGGCTCAAAAAGAGAGCAGCAGAGGGAGTGTGCTCTGAGAGACCAAGAGTCCAAGAGAGAGCCCTCGGTTTAGAGAGAGTTCTCAAACTTCCCAGTCAACTCTCATCTATGTACTGGGCATGATGTCGCATGATATGGAATATTCCATTGGCCAGTTTGGCCCTCAATCCTGAGTCTAAGTTCAAATCATAAGAGGAGTTGTGGTCCCTTTGTCCTGGCCATGCTCCCCGCAGCCTGTTGTGCTCCTGCACACTGGTAAAATATGGGAAGCTGAGAGTCCTTGGTGTGTCAGCAGCAACTATAAACCTCAGTGTGCTAGCAATGTTCCTCTCACAACAAATCCCATACTGAATCCAAAACACAGAGCTCTTGTAGCTTCTAAAATGGAAAACTAACTCTGTCCCAGTCAAAACCAGGACAGCCACTTATCTGGTAAGGACAAGAGCAATGAAGCACCAGACTTCAGGGGTGTCCTGATGGTGCCATTTAGAGGAGTTATGAGGTCATTCAGATTGGTGTATTGGATCAGACTAGAGGTTTATGTAGCCTTTAGCAGAGACCAATACCAGATTTTCTGGCAGAGGGCATAGTAGACAACTATGAAATAGCCTAGTGTAGAGAAGTTTGTGGAGAAATCATCAGTACAGCTCTGTCTACAAACTGTAACATTGTCTCAGTGATGGCACTGAAATGAATATTCTATCAGAAAAAGATTGTATATTTTTTGACACTGCGGTAATTATTTTCTGGAATAGCTTCCTGTAGTAATTCAAGATACTGTAGGACTTTTTTTTTCATTGTATGAGTGAAATTACATTTCTTTATATCCAACAGGATACAGATTTTGGAAAAAATATACTACATAAAGCACATAATAATCCACCTGCAGAAGTGGATACAAGCCTAAGAACATACCAGGAATATACCTTGGAAAAAGTTTATAAAGGAAAAGACTTTTTTTGGGCTTCAGCTCCAGTGGCAGGGGACTATATCAGCTTCACCTTTTCAAATCCACTGAAAGTTGAAAAGTAAGTATTACATGATATGGAATATGGAAGCCTACATATATCCAGTTTGGAAAAGACTGTCAACTGTTTGCATAAACCATAGCCTCATTACTGACAAAAACCCCATGATTTGCTATTTTTCTGCTCCCCTTCTTGAATTCTCCTCTTGAAATACATTTCTTCCTTGGTAATTAGAGAGCTGCTTAATTTTTTTTCCTTTTATTTCTTCATTTAAATATTTTACATTCTCTTACGATAGTTCTCAAAAGAATTTGATTGTAACTAATGAATGTCATCAATGGAGTCAGTGAAAGCTTTATTTCTATAGTCGTCAACAGAAAGGCCGTTTGCACGATGTCACATCAAAGGCCGTGTCCCAGACCAGACATCTATCAGTCTAGGTGAAAGCACAGAGAAAACATCACTACTGTGGGGAAATAATGAAGAGTGAGGTCATAAGGGTGTGGGATTCAGTGGAAAATTCAGAGACTTGAATGCAGGCATTTACAATAGAGATGTCTACATAAGGTAGATGTGGAAGCTCCTACCATACATGACAGATAGAGATGTACTTGATGCAGTCGGTGGAAGCTAGACAGCTGTTCATCTCATTTTCTGTTTGGTCACCCGAGTTAGTTGCTGAGTTTCATTGACTGTATTGAGTATATCTCCACTGCCTCTAATGAGAGCTTGAACACTTGGGTCACAGCGAGACTTCTGACTTCACATGTTTGGATCTACAGCCAAGTCCCACCTTGAATGTTTTTCTCATTCGAAAAGATGAAACTGTTCCCTGTTTTCACATCATTCAACTTGAGTGTCTTTGAAAGGAAGAGAAACCTGTAGCTTAAGATAGAGGAGTGTTTTTCAGATGGACTTAACTCTATGGACAATACAATTTGAGGTTGGCACCAAAAGAAGCAGTCCTGCCTGGTTCAGCAAAGTTTCTTCTTTGTGTCAGATTGAAGAATGGATCCAAGTTAAAACTAACCTAGTGACAAATGTGGTTCCAGGGGAGCACCTCTGACACAAATTACCATCATTACCATATCTCTGTAATGATAGTCAGAGAGAAAACTCCTTCACTGTTGTTACACTTCCTCCCAAAACTGGTCACAAAACTAAGAGACTTCCATTTCTGCAAAGATTGTAGATTTCTCATTTATTTTTTTTTAAACAAAAAGCACCTAAGAAAGCAAGTCTATATCTCCATCCAGTGAGCTGCACTAAATGAGAGTTGTTATAATAAATACTAGTGTTCTGTGATCGACACTGTTAAATTACTGGTTTATGCTTTGGGAAACTTGAGTAGCCTAAATTTTTGCATTTTCCTGTGACTGAGGAGCTGTACGGGATGAAGCTAGCTTACATACGGGATTGGGTAACGGGTGGTCCCAGCCCCATCATGTTGATAACCTGTGAAAATGTATAGTTAATCCTGTAATCTTTGGTGGTCATCTTAGGTCACGATTGTTTGATACCAGAGGAGGGAGGTTGATGTTTTAAATTTCCTTAGCTCTTTTGGATCTAAAAACTAAGAACTTTAAATGCCAGAAATGTAAAACCAGACAGGGATTTATTTTTATTTTTTTAAATTTCATAGATGTTTTTGCTTGGATTCTTGCTTTGACAGTACTGTTGCTAATTGGCTGTAAAGGAGATTATTTAGAAGCACCTCAATTGATCAGTATGGATAAAAGGGGGGATCCTCTTAGCATGTAGCATGTTGTAGCATGTAGCATGTTGTAGCATGTAGCATGTTGTAGCATGTATGTAGCATTTTAGTAGAAACAGGGGTTTTGGCTCCATTGCATTCCAGAAGCCCATCTCACCTCAGCCTTAGGGTGATAGGAACAGATCAGAGGGTGGATCTTCCTTAACCATTTAAACCTGGAAAGTTAATTTATTTGGAACCTGAGCACTGAAAAGGGGGAACACTTGCATTCATGGTTCCAGAGAAGGATGGTCTTAATGCTTGTTCTGTTTGAAATAAAAAGCCTCTAGTATGGTTTGGTCACACATCAGAAAGTTTCAATGCTATTTCTCTTCTCTATAGCCCACAACTAATGAAAGAAAAGGTATTGGAAACATTCCTTCAACACTGGAAAGAATTACTTCCCTAGAACTCTTCTAAAGTATAAAATACCTGGAAATAATTTACCTTTATCATCAGGTACTTCTTCAAAAGTGGAAACGTGGAGCACCCTGGTGATAAACTGTTTAACACCACCGTGGAAGTGTTGCCAGCTGATGTAAGTCTCGTTTCCAACTGTAATACACAGTGCTGTTTCATTTTAAGAATGATGTTCAGCATAAAATGTCATGCCCTAGAAAATATTTCTGGAGATTTTATTGTTTTGTTTTTTACAGGAAATGCTAAGAAAAGAACTGGTTGACAGCAGAAGTAAATTTAACTACCCAGCAACGAAAGACGGATATTTAAAAATAGGTAAGTTGTTTATTGTCACTTCAAAACCAGAAATGTTGTTCTTACGTATAAAACATTTCTGCATTTGAGAATTTCATTAACTCTGTAATAAATACAACATTCCAAGGAGAACAGTAAGGAAAAGAAACCCTTTGTGCTGCTGCACATTATCGTACATGATGTTTGACCAATGACTGTCCTATTTTGCTTTAAATAATGAAGAACCCTACCAGCAGTCAAAAAAGCCAAGGCGTCTAATTATAAGAAAAACTAATTGCAGTCTCTGCAAGGTCGGAATAGGATAATCAATTCTGGTTTGGATTTTGCAGCCTTAGCTGAAGACAAGGAGTTCTTGTGATTATATGCCAGTTTAACAAGGTTAGTTAAAAAGTATTGAACTAGTGAAGAAGTGTGTCAGAATTGGTCCGTGATGTATCTTTTTAAAAATAACCATATTTCTCAGAAAAGCTCTTTTAGATTATGTAACATGGCCACATGTGTCATACCTATCTAGTCACTACTAACAGATTTAACTTTATTTTTTAACATTTGTAACTATAGGTCCTTTATTTTCTTGTATTCTTCTCCAGCTCCTAATTGCTGTAACTGAAGGAATGAATCCTTCTTGTTTATAGCTTTATCTTTTAGCTGTTATTGTTTGTTATTGTTATCTTTTCCAAAAGACTTTTTTCCCCCTAATGTTGTATCCCTGGAGTTAATTTGTAATTTGGAGCTTTCACTTGGAAGTGTATTTCAGTCTGATAAATGTTTGTACAGGTCTTGTTTTATTTTTTATTTAGGGGCTTTTGAAGATGGGATTGCAGAAGGCAGTATCAATCAGTCAATAGGAAAAATACAAGCGATTCGTTTATCAATCAATTCTGATTCCCCTGTGTGGGCAATCCTTAGTGAGGTAAGCACGTTAATTAAAGCATTTTAATTAAAGCTTTATTAAATGATTTTCAGTTCTTCCTACCATATAGTATTGATCATAATTAATTTTTATTTAATTTTCAATGGGATTTTGTGTGGAAAATCTCACACAAATGGAGAATTATATTAATTATTCAGGGGAGAAGTTCTATTTACTTCCTAGAAAAAGTGCTGGAAATGCTCAGGTGGGATGATTCTCCAGTTTTGCAGTGCTGTAAGTATAGCCACTAGAACTGGGGTCATGATAAACAAACCAACCAAAGGAGGCAGGGAGGCTTTTCGAGCTTTTTTTTCAGTCACCATCTTGGATATTAATTATAATATGCAAACATTTTCAGGTGAACAGGTGATTTTTTTATTCTTCAAGTTTCTCCCAAGTGTCTGAATGTGTGTGAACCCCTAAGTAGAAAATATTCATCAGAAATCACTGAAGAGAATTACTACAGCCTGAAACTATAGCCATAGTTGGAATGAGGGAAAAACTAATGTCCTGTGCAATGCTTCTGCAAACTTTAGAAATTTTCTTTTTTTTTTTTTTTCAGGTACTTATCAAGACATCCGAAAACTGAAAAAACCCACATTTTTGATGTGGCGCTTGTTACGGATTGTTTGAAAACTAGGCTAATAGCAATAAAAAACTGGCTTGGTAAAAAGAACAAATCCAAACTCATTTAATTCTTAATACTGTGTATTAGGAAAGAGGTGAGATAACTATTAAATCTTTATATAAAGAATGTTAAAAGCAATAAAGAACCCGATTATGTTAATAATTTCTATAAATGTTCTTGAGTAAGGTGTAACATATAAAAATCTCACCTTAGCTTGGCAACATTCAATCTATATTATTCTAAACAATTGATAAGGTGTTCCAGGTTGTCTTAGGGACTAAAGCATAAAAGTATGGTAAGTTTCACCAGAACTAAAAATATGGACATTTTTGAAAAATACTAAAGACACAGTTTTCAACTCCACTAAAAACATTGGCCAATGTTGCAGAGAAAGTAGGACTGAAGGAAAAGTTGTCAATGTTATTGCAAGTATTTAGAGCAGTCCACAGAGATAGGAACAACTTAACAATATGAAAATGGATCTCAGACTTAGAAGTGTGTTGCAGCCTTCATGTAGCATAAGGTTTATTTAATATTTTATTTAATGCGAAGTGCCTACAAGTTACAATTTTAGTAACTTGAAACTTAAACAGGTGTTGTTTGGAGGATTGTAAAAGTTTTCAGTGAATTGTGCATTGATTTAACTTCAGAAAATAATAGGGATATTCAGTCTAACTATATTTTTGTAGAAAGAAAATCTATTTAAATAAAATTTTGGATCCTGTAATTTGATAATCTGTATGTATTGATACTTAAATCCTGGTCACAAGGTAAAACTCAATATAAATTCGAAAAGAAAAGATAAACCGCAGTAGTCTCATTTGAAATGCTTTTGGGAAATGACAATCCACCTTGGATATCTACCTGTTAATGTGCAGAATTCCTGTATCACTTCCTTAGCACTTGAAGCACGACTGCGCTCTCACTCTCCTGCATCCCAACAGCAGACAGCGAGAAATAAGCTGTGTTGTACACTTCTGCATGGATTTGTATTAATTAGCATAGAATTGTATTCTGAACGCAAGAGTATTTTTATCCAGAATGAGATGAAATTAATTTTGTTACGTTAAACCAGTTCAGAAAGATGTTTTTATAAAGACCACCTCTAATAAGATTTTGATAATTCACAGTATTGTTTTTATACTGTGGTGCCGCATATATGTGCGTGTAGATACATATGTGTACGTATAGATGCACGTATTTCTGGGACCAAATATCACAGCCTTCCTTGGGTTGAGAGTGTAATGCAGGTTAAGAGTTAATGCATTAATCCAGAGTGCTTAGAGATACACAGAGGGACACCGTTATCCATCAGCACTTCCAGTAAAAAGAAGGGCTGAGTGAAACTGAGACCAGTGGATCGTTAAAAAGCAGTGGCTAAGTCTGCCATTAGGGGAAGGAGGGAAATAAGGTGGCTCTGCATCGAGCTGCTTGGCAGGAGAATGGCAGGGCTGCCTCCCTCTGACCCTGCTCAGAATATCCTTTCCGATCATCTTTTTCTCTGCTGATACAGGAGTCTGAGACGTTTCGTCACGAAGACTTATGCTAGGGAATAAAGCATATTAAGGGAAGACAAAATTGAGTTCTCTGAAGTCATTCCCTCTTATAACCTGGAGTGCTTTAGCATCTTTGCAGTACCATGGTACTGTGGTTACCATTTCTCAAAAGTACATTAAATAAGGATTTGAATTAAGGCATAACAGATCTTTCTGATCGGTGTTGGAATCATAGAATCATATGATTGAGAAATGGTACCATAGTCCTACAGAAACATCAGTCTTTAGACATCTCTAGCTAAGCCTTAACAACAGAAGAAATTGTGCTGCTTTTCTACGACATAAATACACACTGTGTTTAAGTTGTGAAGTTTACATTGGTCTTTGAAGCTTGTAATCTATGGCAATCTTAGATTTTGATGACACTATCAAAAGAGAAATATAATCAAGTTTTTGCATTAGTTTACAATGACCTTATACTGCCTGAAAGGCAGAATATCACAAAAGTAAAGGTGAGCATTTGGATTTACAATTCATATTACACATTCTAACGGTAACTCTTTTAGAGTCAACAAACTAGCGTGTGGTAGATATAAACCACATGGAGAAATCTGTAAAAATTGTCTGAAGCTGTAAGTTATTTTAGGAGGGGGGGAGCTTAGTTTGATGGTGTCTAGGCCATAACTGTTAGGTCCAAAAGACAGTTTCCTCAATATGGTAAGAATCAAGTAACATAAAACAGATTCTTGTGGCCTGAGCGCTGGCTTAAAGAGGCTTAGAGTTATGAGAAAAAGGTCCCAGTTTTTCTTACGGCTGTCAACATTTCTGGTGTTTCCTTCCTTCTTTTCTTTCACAGACTCACAGTTTCATAGGCAGTAGAAAGAAAAGCTCTGTGTACGTGCCTTAATAAGAATTTCTTGGGCAGTTACATCTGCCTGCCTTTGAGGGGGTGGCGGACGCTGCAGTGGCACGTGCCCTTGGCTGCATACGGGAGTAGTTTTCCAAAGCAGTCTTCAGCGAAGACCTGCAGGTGCACCCTTCAGAGAGATTCAACAGGAAGAACAAAAAGCAGTGGCTGTAGGTATATGGTTCATCTCACAAACACGGGCAGGGATGGTTGGTGCCCAGAACAAACGTTGAGCTTGAAATGAGGCCCGCAGTCCTTGCGGCCTTTGGCTGGGCGGACGGCTTTGATGATGTGAGTCGTCAAGTGACGCAGTGTCACATGTGAACACGCCAAACCCTGACCCTGTTTGTCAGCAGCTGGGCAGCCAGAACAATCCCAGTGTTGCTTGTGATCCCTCAGGGAGTCTCTTTTGTCTTGGCCCTCTCCTGCACGTTTCAGATAATGGTGCTGTGGATAATGTTTTAAACACTCATAAATTATACGCTGCCCAGAGCCTAAAGATACACCTTGAGCCAAGCCAGAGGGCTCCTCAGGGCGACGGCCCTGCACCTGCTGCATTCCGCAGGCCTGGGGGAGGCTTTCGGAACATCAGTCAGGAATTATGGCAGCAGCTCCACTGAGTGACCCCTCAAACATTGACTGGATCGCGAGGTGAGTCTCCAACTGTAATGAAGGGCTTTGTTACTCTGAGCCACATTGCTCCGGTTTGCGATGGAGAAGCTGCT